TTCTCTACATAACTATGGAGGTCAAAGGCAGGTCAGAAGGTCAATTGCTGGTCCACTTCTGTCAGAACATTAGCTCTGAGAAAATATTCAGTGTATAGTTTATGAAACTAGGTGGGGATCTGGAATTCAGGACATTCCCTACTACAGTGCCTTGAAAAAGTATTAATTTTGTCATGTTACAACCAAAAACGTAAATGTATTTTATTGGGATTATATGTAATAGACCAACACAAAGTGGAACATAATTGTGAAGTGGAAGGAAAATGATAAATGCTTTTCAAAATTTTTCACATCTGAAAAGTGTGGTGTGCATTTGTATTCAGCCCCCTTTATTCTGGTAGCACTAACTAAAATCTAGTGTAACCAATTGCCTTCAGAAGTCACCTAATTAGTAAACAGAGTCCACCTGTATGTAATTTAATCCCAGTATAAATACACCTGTTCTGTGAAGCCCACAGGTTTGTTAGAGCACATTAGTGAACAAACAGCATCATGAAGGCCAAGGAACATGCTACCAAACAGGTCAGGGATAATGTTGTGGAGAAATTTAAAGCAGGGTTAAGTTATAAAATAAAAAATATACCAAGCTTTGAACAACTCAAGGGCAAGGAGAGCATTAATTAGAGAAGCAGCCACGAGGCCCATGTTAACTCTGGAGGAGCCACAAAGACCAACAGCTCAGATGGGAGAATCTGTCCAAAGGACAACTTTTAGTTGTGCACTCCACAAATTTGGCCTTTATGGAATAGTGGCAAGAGGAAAGTCATTGTTGAAAGAAAGCCATAAGAAGTCCCGTTTGCAGTTTGTGAGAAGCCATGTGGGAGACACAGCAAACGTGGAAGAAGGTGCTCTAGTCAAAAGAGACCAAAGTTTAATTTTTGGGCCTAAAAGCAAAATGCTTTGTGTGGCGAAAAACTAACACTGCACATCACCCTGAACACACCATCCCCACAGTGAAACATGGTGGTGGCAGGATCATATTGTGGGGATGCTTTTCTTCAGTAGGGACAGGGAAGCTGGTCAGAGTTGATGGGAAGATGGAGCCAAATACAGGGCAATCTTAGAAGAAAACCTGTTAGAGTCTGCAAAAGACTTGAGACTGGGGCGGAGGTTCACCTTCCAGCAGGACAACGACCCTAAACATCCAGCCTGAGCTACAATGGCTTGGTTTAGATCAAAGCATATTTATGTGTTAGAATGGCCCAGTCAGAGTCCAGACCTAAAAACAATTGAGAATCTGTTCACAGCTCTCTCCATTCAATCTGACAGAGCTTGAGAAAAGAAGAATGGGCAAAATGTTTACTCTTGATGTGCAAAGCTTGTAGAGACATGCCCAAAAGGACTGCAGCTGTAATTGCAGTGAAAGGTAGTTCTACAAAGTATTGACTCGGGGCTGAATACAAATGCACGCCACACTGTTCAGATATTTATTTGTAAACAATTTTGAAAATCATTTATCATTTTCCTTCCACTTCACAATTGGGGCTCATGTATACTGCAGCTGATAAACTCACAATTAGGAGCTGTTCAGCGTTTTTTTTTTTCAGCAGCCCCTGAACTCACCCTAATGTTTTCCTATGTGTCCATGTACACATCTTTGTTTACAGTCCTTCACAGGCATTTCAGTTTACAGTTTTTTTTAACGCAGAAAAGTTGCGTTCAGCAGTTGATTTTATCAGCGTTTCAAACGCTAAACGCGGCTAATCGCGTTTTTAAGCATTTGCGTCTGAATTTTTTTTTTTTTTTTTTAACTTTCAGTTCCTGATGCTGTACTGAACCTTTTTTCATAATGAAAAATGCATGCAAAGCATTTTCAAGGTACCCAGATGGGCAAAACACTGAAAACAGGATGTCCCTACCAAGCTGGTCACATGTTGTAATGACCAATTCACACCTCAGACCTCTCCCACCCTTGGAAACAAAAGATATGTTAATGACCATTCATGCCTCAAAGTACTTATGAAGACCCCCTGCCAGATGGCCTTAATGACTCACTCTACCAAACAAAAGAAATGTTAATGAGCAACACCTAATCTAATTTTCAGCACATACTGCTGTTTCTGCTTCTACTCTCTATATTTCTCTGAAACAGTCTGAAATAGTTAATAATTTACCACTTTTCAGTGCATTCTGGGCATTTGGGAGGTTCTGCTGTGCTTTTCTTTAAAAAAAAAAAAAAAAAAACTCTTCTAAACGCAAATGGGCATAAACACGTTATGCAAACGCTGCTAAACAGATGTTTCTTAATCTGCGTTTTCGAGCAGTCAGTTTCCATCGTTCAGAAGTGTCCCGTGTACATGGGGCCTTATGTGCCACTTTGTCTTGGTCTATCAGATAACACCCCAATAAAATACATTTGTTTTTTGTTGTAAAATGACAAAATGTGGAAAATTTCAAGGAATATGAATACTTTTTCAAGGCACTATAATTTTCATAAATCAATTGATAATCCAAGTTTTTTATTTGCACTAATTTGAAGATGAAATAAAAAGCAATAATGTGCAAAAATTTACAATTATTAATAGTATAATCCGTGAAAATGGTAATGAAATATCATAGGTGATGATAAAAATATAAACAGTTCAAAATAGCAGTACAATTATCTAATCCAAAATAATGGCTAGGAATTCAAACCAGCAACTATTTTCAAATAGTAATGAATTGAAATAGCTGCCTAGAATTGCAACGTAGGAAACTTTCAGTAACTCAGCAGCATATGACAACAGTTATGCAAATACATGATGTGATCTCTCTACAACCAGATATTCAAAGCTCAACATGTACCATGGTATGAATTTATTTAGAATATCATACACAGACCAATCTGATGAACTTAGCATCTTTCTGAGGTCAAATTCAAATGTTCCACTAAGTCACAGGTGACAAACACAAGGCCCGTGGGCCAAATTCGACCCTCCAAGCCATTTCATGTGGCCCTTGCACCTCTCCTGCAGGTACCCCCTTGTCTCTGCCCCCTCACTGCCTCAGCAGTCGGCAGCAGAGAGGTGAATATAATTCTTCTGTCAAATTCTGCACCTCTCAGTGCAGCTGCAGTACTCCCTCATCTCTGCCTCCCCTGGTCTCCGCATTCAGCAGACTCTAGTAACTGACTCCTCGCTTCCTCTGGCCATCCTCCACACCCTGCACTTTCTGCTTTCCAGCTATGCTCTCAAAGGGGTTCTACGGTGATGTTAGGGAGGATGTGGTGATATTGATGTAATGGGGGGTGGGGTGCCTGGACATCTGAGACCAGTGTCACTGAAAATAATGTATTGCCTACCTGATTCTGGAAAGAAAAAACTACCTGTACATCTTACAGACATTCGTTGAGGTCATTTGTACTGAGACTTCTTAATTATCTAATGCCTTCTGTACTATACAGACGTTGTAATATAATGAACTCAATATTTTTTATATTGAAAATGTAATACTCACAATATGCACAAGTGTATTAAGTGTTAAAATCAATTAATATAGATAAAATATACAGTATATGTAAATAGAAATTGAATGTAGTAATATAAAACCCAAATTACTTAAATGAATATAGACTTTATGCAATACGAATCATACAATTAATATTTTTGGTTAAAATATTCCTGTCAAATAATACTAAACACAATATGCAATGTAACGTTTAATATGAACTCTTTCCCAATCGTTCATGGAAAATAAAATCCTTGTGAATAGTTTTCTTTTGTTCTATCCAGAAATGGACCCATCCTATAACCTCCATAGTGGTATGATTATGTCCATATCTCTGTGCTGAAAGCGGTAGATTTTTTTGCATGGAAATATGTCGTTTTTTTATTGTAGGCTTGTAATTTTTAGGTTTAACTCACTGAAATCTGTCTGAACAAGAGTCTAGTAAACATCCCGGGTATGATAAAATTTGAAACACGAAATCATAAATTATAATATAATAAATAATAAAAAATAATATAATAATAAATTTAATTCAATAGTATAATCAAACCAAAAACAGTGACATTTGAAATATAGCGCTAAATTCACACATCACTGAGCAAAGTCGCAAAATCGTTTTCAGTGTCTGATGACGAATTTCCCCATGAATCATCCCTCAATTCTGCAAGTGGTTCTGATTTACGATGGCTGTATTCTGGCTGGTCTAAAACCACTTTTGACATAAAGGGACCCTTTTTGGACGCCATGGACTTTTCTCAGTTTCCAGGCAGAAAGAACAGTAAAAATGCAGACAGGGCACAGGACAAAGCAGTAGGGACAAAATGTATGTGAAATGCTTTGAAACAGTAATGTTTTAATATGTGAGTTTAGTGTATTAGTGAATGTCACTTTTTAAATTTCCTGCCGGTTACGGCCCCCGTACATCCTGACGCTCGCAGGGACCGGAAGACGGATGACGGCATCGGTCGGAGGAGATGGCTGAGTACCCTGCAGGGGACACATCGCGGGAGCGCAGGACAAGGTAAGTGATCAAGTGAATCCCAGAGCAACGCTGCAGGGTAATCCCGAGTGTAGCTCGGGGTACCACTTTTGCCACTGATAACCCCGAGCTACACTCGGGAATACCCCCAGGGAGGTTAATCTTGCAACTTGGTATCATGTTCAGTCTGTATGTTGTAGCTGTCTGATACCATCATACATCCCCCTCCCCAATTTATAACCTGAGAAAGTATGCAGAAAGAACCTGAAAATGTCTGCTGTTAGAATCCTTGTTCAGAAACCATGAAAATAGAATATGAAGAACAAAATGGCTTCCAGCATGCCCTTGTAGAGATAAGTTCAGGCCTTCCGGTTTAATTCCGTGAGCCCAGAATATTTCAAACCATGCACACCCATCAATAATGTTTAAATGTTCTCAAGAGCATCTCAGTGTGTTGCTTCAGCCAGTAATGCGTTACATAGTTTTGGTATGTTTCATTGTTTGAATACAGCATTAGTCTTGCCTATTATGTGTTATGTAGTGAGTTCTCTCTGGTAATATGTTGAGTTATATTTTTTTTGTTTTCATTTATAAGGTGGAGACAAGATACCTTGTTGGTCAATCAGGAAGCGCTGAAGAGGAAGAAAATAATTCTCACATTTACCAGTTGCACAAGTTTATACTGTTAAATTCTTAACCAGATAAAAATAAATCCTTAAACATTTCTTTTGGAAACCCTGCAGATCACAAAATACAGCGAGTTTAGTCTTTTCATTTATCGGGGAAAAAAAGTAGCTGACAATTGTAATATGTTACTGAGAGGTCATTTTGAAATCTTTTTGTTTTGGCTTGTAAATTGTTACTTTTGATATAAAAATAAACACGTTTGTGAAGCATGTACAAAAGGTTTTTATATATCAGGTGTGTTTGAATACTTAGAGAATCCGTTAGCAGGGTAGAAGATGCATATGGCAGCTGCTTGATTAGGGACTAAAAGCATTTGTCAAGGCACAATTTAAAAAAAAAAAAAAAAAAAAAAATGCTGCAATTCTGGAATACATAATCATTTCTCCATATCATACCCCTGTGAACAAGTTGCACGTACAGAAAAATAATGGTTGCTGCGGGAGGAAGTTTAGTTCTCAATTACAAAGCATGTGGTGCCCGCCTTGCCTACTTATGGTTCAATAAACGCAGACCTCGCCTCATCTTTTAGACCTCACCATGTTCTCAACCCCCTGTATGAGCACAAGAAGTTCTCTGCTCTCAAAATTGCTGGCAACACCCACACATATTTTTTGTATTTAATTGAACAGGTAAGTCCAAACATTTTCAACGGTATATTTAGCAGACCAAAAAGGAACAAACAGGTTTTACATACACTTAATGTGGATAATTATTTCAGATGAGCAACTCTAAAATTGTTCCCTAGCACTCTAGTTCTGTTTCTTGCCTGCTTTTCCTTTCAAATTTGTCAGGTGACTGTTAACTCTACAGCTGTAGAAAGCTGTATATAAAAAGGTTTATCTTAATTGCACAGTACAGGACCCAGTAATTGATTATTAGACCATGGGTGTACCCATATAACCCTGTCCACTCCGTAGAGTCCTTAGATGCTATTGACCTTAGATGATGGATGCATTGTAGGTGATTTTTTTTTTTTTTCCTTTTTTTCTTTTTTTTTTTTTTTTTTCACCAGCTTTCCTTTCCTCCTTCTTTGACTCATCTATCAAGATTTGACCGCTTATTGCCTAATGTCTCACTAACATTTTCTGGATCAGCTACCCTTGGTATATACCTTGGGAACCATATCCCCATAGCAGCAGGGCAGTCCTGTAATGTGTTTTTTTTTTTTTTTTTTTTAAATCTTTATTTTGTAGTCAAGGTATTCAGCAATGTGATACAGAACATAAGAGAAGAAACATTAAACAGTTCTATGTGAAAACTGAATCACTGGGGACTCTAGATCATGACATCATTATTTAACATATACAAGTACAGGTTGGATGGGTAAATTCATGGAGCTGTTGCGCATGATGTCTAGGAGCTGTTAACAATCGATAAGCGTCGAATTCGGAGCCATGTTTTATATTTTACATGTAGAGAAAACACTGATATGAGTAAATATAGAATAATAAATGCACAGTAGGGTCAGTAGAGAGAGAAGAATGAAGGGAAGGAAAAAAGGTGGGGTTTTCTCCCCCTTGGATGGGGAAGGTTCTGAATTGTCATCCATAGGTAAATCAGGGCTGAGAGGCGAGCAAGGTCTGATCCCCTTTAAAAAAAACAGGGAGTCCAAATCTTCCGTCCTGTAATGTTTACTTTGGGCACTGGATTCTGCTTTCGGCACTCACTTTAGCATGTGGTGCGAAAAGTGGGTTACACGCAGGGTGCTATTTCAGGGTTGTGGTCCACGCCGATGACCACAGAAGACAGTCTTGGGGATATTGCTATCTTGTCGGACGAAGTCTGGACCGTGGTAAGACCAGTGGCGTGTTCGAGGTAAGACACAATTTCTTGTTGGATCATTACTTGGACCTGTAGTCCACCCTGTTATGTTTTTTTTATCCTACTAAGCACACAAGTAGTCTTGAAGGCACAGGCTATAGAGTAATCTACATTTTTAGCTTTTTTTTACCCGCTTTTTGATCAAGTCGTTTTGGGCTTTATGTAATTACTGTAATTCCAGGAGGTTATTGCTTTAAGCTATGTTTGCCTTGTACCCTATGGAAGTGGACTGTTCCCACTGTGGAATGATTAACCTACTGATTCTATTGAGGGTGTTCCCTTCCCCTCTTAAGGAGACCCTCTTGAGGTCATCTATTGCCACTTTGTCAATTGCCCAGACAATGGGAAAATAAACTAGAGAAATCAATAGGGAACTTTCTCTTGATATAGATAATCCTATTCTTTTTGCAAGATTAAGCGCTTTCCCTGAACCCTAGATGAATAGATGCCTTGGATAATGTTACCTATCAAAGCTGTAGTCAAAAGGGGAAGTTCTGTCTCAAGGCCTTGTCCCCCGCTCTCTATTAAGGATTAGCACCTTTGGGGAGAAGTGTCCCCGCTGTGATTCAATATGACAGCGGGGGGGGATTGCCGAAGAAGCATTTATCTTTAATTCAAAAGATTATCATCTCAACCTCACCCTGGTCTGATCATGGCCCTTTGGTCTTCTCACTGTGTCTTTCTGGTATGGCTCGGCCCTCTTTTTCGTGGAGACTCAACGAATCCCTGCTCACCACTCAGGCTTCTTGTTCCCAGGTTCTCTCGCACATTCAGTCCTATTTTATGGACAATGTGGGCTCTGTAACCTCGGCCGTCACTTTGTGGGAGGCTCACAAAACCACCCATTAGGGGTTATTTGATTCAGATCGCCTCGTCTAGGAAACGGGCCAGAGAGAAGAGGATGTCGGAATTGACCTCGAGATTGGCCGTGGTGGACGCTACTTGGAAAGCCTGCCCGACCACGGCCAACAGGAAAGCTCGAGATGTGGTGGCTGCTGAACTTGATCTTCTCTCCACTACTCGAGCTGAGAAGGCATTACGTTGGGTCGGACATAGGTTTTATACAAGCGCCAATAAACCGGGACCAATGTTGGCCAAGAAACTTAATTCGCTTGGTCACACGCATAAACCTATTCGACTCCGAATGAGGGGTGGTGGCCTTACCTCGGACCCTGTGAAGATTACACATAGATTTGCTGATTTTTTTGTCCTCTCTATACCAAAAAATCAAACGCCTTTGTCACTGAACATGCGGATAGTTTTTTTTCAATGAGCTGAACCTGCCCTATTTGTCCGTTGCAGCCTGAGATGCCCTGAATGCGGATATCACTGAATCTGAACTCTTTCAAGCCATCAAATCTTTGAAGGCCTCCAAGGCTCCAGGTCCTGATGGGTTTTCTGGGCTTTACTATAAAAAAATTTGCCACCGTTTTGGTCCCTCACTTGATGGCCTTTTTCATTTCTTTGAAGCCGGGTTCACGGCTTTCTTTGGAGTCTCTCCAGGCGCATATTACTATGCTTCATAAGAAATCTGAAGATGCTTTTGAACCGCAAGCTTTCAGACCGATCTTGCTGCTAAATGTGCACTTGAAGATTTTGGGCAAGATTTTGAGCACCCGAATTAATAAGTATCTACTCTTCCTTATTCATCGAGATCAGGTTGGCTTCGTTGTGGGACGACAAGCTGCTGATAACATTCGTAAAGTCATCCATCTCATTCATATTTTACATCGCCGCAGGATACCAGGATTCCTTTTATCCTTGGACATTTATAAAGCATTCGATTCACTTTCGTGGGAATACTTGACATATACGCTGTCTAGGTGGGGGTTTGGTGATGCATTCCTGGCATAGATCTCGGCTTTATATACGTCTCCCTCGGCCTCTGTTAAATATGCAGGTTTTTTTTTTCCTCGTCCTTTCCTATTTTCAGGGGCACAAGACAGGGATGCCCATTATCACCTGCTCTTTTCGTTCTTGCTCTTGAACCTTTAGCTGCAGCCATTCGAAATCACCTGGATATTTCGGGTGTCCCCTATGCCGGTACTCCAATACAAGGCCATCTTCTATGCGGATGTAGCCCTTTTGGTTTTAACAAATCCTCTCATCACTCTCCCCAATCTCCAAGTCATATTGGACCGTTTTTCTACTATTTCTGGCCTCCGTATTAATTTGTCTAAAACCACAGCTTTGAATATTACGCTTCCTGATGACCTGGTTGAACAGTTGCAGACACACTTTCCCTACTGCCATTCTCTGGATTATCTTGGCGTTACACTTCCTCCTATTCTACTTTATTTTCGGCTAATTATTATCCCTTATTTCGCTCTGTTACTTCCCTTCTTCATTCTTGGCAGTTTCCTTCTCTATTTTGTATTGGCCGGATACATGTTGTCAAGATGACTATTTTGCCGAAGATCCTGTACTTTTTCCGTACTCTTCCTATTCAGGTCCCTGGGTTTTTTTCTTCTTGTATTGCAAAGCTGGATTCACAGTTTTATTTGGGCTCATAAACAGCCCAGAGTGCCTAGAGCCACTTTATATACTCATAGATTACAGGGAGGTTTGGGAGTCCCACACATTTCTAGATATTACTTGGCGGCCCAGTTTTCCCAGTTGTCTATGCTTTATGCCACGACAGATATCCCGTTATGGGTATTATTGGAATTACCCAATTGTGCTCCGCTTTCCTTAACTGCATTGCTTTGGCTCCCGAATAAGCTACGCCCTCCAGATTTGAGCCCTATCATGCTTCACAGTTTACAAACCTGGGATTCTGTAAAATATTCAGGTAATTTGATTTCATCATTTCTAGCTCTTTTGCCTATCTTGGTGGACCTCCCATGGCTTTGTTATCGTACATGATTTTCTGAACGCTCGTACGTTTCCTTCATGGGAATCTCTTCAGCTCATCAAAGGGGGTCCTGCCACGGGAATATTATCGGTATTTGCAATTGCGCCACTGGGTCCTTTCCCTCCGTCGTACTTCTGCATACCCTTACCGCAAAACGTCCTTTGAACACGTTTGTCAGCACTCCCCAGGGTCCCCTGGTCTCATTTCTGTAATTTATGCCTCCCTTAACAGTAGGTCCTCCTCTCCGCCCCTGTCTAATGTCTCTTAGTGGGAGCGAGATCTGGGTGGCTCGATTGCAGCGGAGGATTGGCGTAGGGCCTGGGGGACAGTGGCGA